CACACATGATGATTTGTACTTATGAAACTATTGGGGGAATCTTTCCAGTGTTGGGCTGTCAACGTCCTTGTGGCTGTTGTTGCATACATAAATAAACTTTTATAATTTTGGTATATCTGTTCCAATTACAGTGGTACCTCGGGTTACATACGCTTCAGGTTACATACGCTTCAGGTTACAGACTCCGCTAACCCAGAAATATTACCTTGGGTTAAGAACTTTGCTTCAGGATGAGAACAGAAATCGTGGTCCAGCGGTGTGGCGGCAGCAGGAGGCCCTATTAGCTAAAGTGGTGCTTCAGGTTAAGAACAGTTTCAGGTTAAGAACGGACCTCCAGAATGAATTAAGTACTTAACCCGAGGTACCACTGTATACCTATTAAGAAAGCTTCCAGTTTTTTAAAACAAAGGTTATTTTTAACATTTTTTTCCAATTCGTTATAGACCATCTCTCCAAAATGTTTTATAACCAGACATTGCCACCACATATGGTAAAATGTACTTTCTACCTCTTTACACTTCCAGCACATATTATCTTTTGTTTCGTACATTTTTGATAGTTTAACTGGTGTTAAATACCACCTATACATCTTTTTCATATAGTTCTCCTTAAGTGCTGTACATGCCATGAACTTTATATCATTTCTCCATAATCTTTCCCAGGCACATCAACATCTTCTGAAACTTTGCATTTGGGGATACTGAGGCACACTCCGGTTTACATACCACTCTGAAATTCACAGACGTATATTGTCTTCTTCAGAAACTTCCTTGTAGTTCAAAGGGCTTCCCTCCTACTCACTTGACTCAGTTTCACTCCCTTAGAATTTCCCTTTCAATGGCTACAGTGACTCCCCTCTCCATGCCTCAATTTCCCTCCCAGGTACCACAATGTGTTCTTTCTTCCTCAGCCACCAAAAGGACGTTTCTGCTTCTCTCTCCCAACTCACTTTCTCTTTCTTCCATGGTCAGCAATGCCTCCCCCTCACATCTTTCTCTTCCCAAGGCAACCTAGTCATGCTTTGAGGAAGATTTTCTTTAAAGTTTGTTTTTTTATTTTTCAGGTTTACAAACAACAAAGAAAACAATTAAGATATAATCAATAAATCCCCATTTAATTCCCTCCCCTTTTGTGGATCCTTATGCCAACATTTTCTCCTGCATTTCATCTGTCACTCCAATTTTATCAAATCTTTAACTAATCCATAATTCAGCTTTTAGCTATAAGTGCCATATCAGTCCTACTAATGATTTAACTTTCTTACAGTATTTTTTTAAAAAATACATTATATACTTTTCTCCATTCCTTATTGAAATGTAAGTCTTCCTGATTCCTAATTCTTCCTGTCAGTTTTGCCATTTCAGCACAGTCCATCATTGTTATCTGCTATTCTTTCTTTGCAGGGACTGTGTTTTCTTTCCATCTCTGAACTAACAAAGTCTGGGCAACTGTAGTCACATACTTGAATAATCTCTTCTGGTCACTTGGGATTTCGGCACCTAGAATTCCTAAAAGAAAATCTTCTGTTTTCTTAGAAAAGGTTATTTTAAACTTTTTTTTCCAATTCATTGTATATCATCTCCCAGAATTCCTTTACTACTTTACATGTCCACCACATGTGATAGAAGGTGCTTTCATTCTCTTTACATTTCCAGCATACATTTGATCTTGATTTATACATTTTAGCTAATTTATTGGGGGTTAAATACCAACAGTATATTGTTTTAATATAATTTTCTTTCAGAGTATAGCATGCTGTGAACTTTAAATCCCAATCCCATAACCTCTCCCATGCTGCCAATTGTATGTTATAACCAAAATCTCTCGCCCAGTGTATCATCACTGATTTGACCTCTGAAGAAGATTCCTGCAAGGGTTGGCTTCTGAGTCTCCGTTCCATCCATGCTCCTCTTGCACCTTGAAGTGGCTCAGACTATGGCCAGTGCGATGTCAGCCTATTGTAGTACAAATATAGAGAAAAGAGTTGACTCCTTGATATCCTGCAGCCTCTGTTATCTTGGTGCTGTAGCACAGCTCTCTTGCTGAGAAGGGATTTCTATTCTTAATGGGCAGGCTATAAATAAACAGCAAAGACAAACAGTCCTCTTGTTTCCATTCGAAATGCTGCAGCAAAGATTATTTCCTTGGCGCTTCTATCAGACCATGCCTCTCCTCTTTCACAGCCACTTCATTGTCTGTCTGTTAACTCTAGAATACTCAATAAGCTTATTGTCTTTACCTTTAAAGCCCTTGAGGGTCAGTCTCCTTCCTATCCCTCAACCCTGGTGTCCCACTATGGGCATAGTGGTTTTCTTTGTTCTTCTAATTCTGGACTTTATTGTTTTAGGGTTTTCTTGTCCTCTATTGCATCTTCATTCTTGCTGCTCCATATGCTTGGAATCATCTTCCATAACATATGTGGGCTGCCCCCCCTCACTCCATAAGTTCAAATCTCTCTTAAAAACTTCTCTTTTTTTCTGAGGCCTTTAGGTCTGGTTAGCTAGCTCTGTTATGCTCAGTATAATGGCTTGTGAACCAAGCATTTTAAGCTATTGATTTTTATTGTTTTGCTTATATTTGTTTTAGATTTTGTGCCCTTTGGGGTAGAATTTCTTACTTTAATTCTATACGGAGCCATGTACATTGATGGAGCTATATAAATAAATGCTATTGCTACTAATGTTTCCAAAAATAACATATTAAACAAAGTTTAGGCCATTTACTCAAGGAATAAAGTTGACAACTGTGTTTTCTCTTCTTCAGTCCCCTGGAACTGAATGAAGTAGCACATATCTTCAGTATACTGTGAGGCCTTCTATCAGCCGCAACGGTGATTTTACTGCACTGCTGTCTTACTCCTTAACCCATGCGATGCATGGCTTTCCAGCTAACATAGGAGCCAACTCGTAGGGGCTGAGGGGTCTTCACCTCCCAAAAAAATATTTGAGGAGGCTAGCCCCCTCCAGTTGATGGGCATTGCCATTCAGACGGTGTCCATGCACTGTGTCATGTGCTCAGTTATGCAGAGCAGGGCTTACTTGCCCCCCCATTTTATTAAAGCTGACACCCCTGCCAGCTAACCTGTTTATTATGTTAAATTAAAACCTGTGACCTTCTAGTTATTGCTGCACTATAGTTCCCTTGATCCCCGACCTTATGCCATACTGATGAGAGCAGAAGTCCAACAATAGCTGGACAGCATCATATTGGCTGTTCCTGGTTTAGGTTTCAACAGTCAGTGCCCAAAAGCATTTGAAGGATTTCAGTTTCCCCATTACTGGTTTCAGATTGGGGGTAGCCAGCACGGTGCCCTCAAGATGTTGTTGGACGATAGTCCCTAACTGTGGGCCACGCTGACTGGGGGTGATGAAGATTTCAGGAGCAGAAAATGGGGGCGGGGAGCACAGAAACACACAGTCACTAAAAGTCCAAAACAGATCTAAACTTCAGTGGGTTTTCATGTTCACAATTTCAATTCTTGCTTTTTAATGTTTTATTATTTGTAAGCTGCTTAGAGAACGCTGTCAGTAAATAAATTTTCAAATGCAGTTAGTTAATCACATTCCCCTGCTTATTTGACGTAACATTTATTTAGCTAAGTGACACTAGCCCTAAAATAAGCAAAGCCATTTTGGCCATGTCAGTGTAATGAAGACTGATCAACTGTGCCCAGTAGGTGTCATCATTGTCCTGCTACTAGCCAGAGAGAGACCTTCACATTTCATTCTGAATGAGCCATAAATATTCAGTATGAAATATACCGAGATGTAAAATAGCAGGTGCAGCAAATTTGTAGTGAGGATACAGTTAATGGGTGAAGGATTCAATATTCTATCTACTGAGCAAACAACTGTATATAAAAACTCCATCTGTAGCTTTTTATGTATGCAACCAGATATACTATATGATTTCCTTTTTTAAAAAAAATACTGATATCTTTGTTTTCAAAGATGGTTTTATACAATTAAGTGGCAACATGTTTGAAAGCGATTGCTAAAAATATAAACATTTCATTTCAGTAATTTTAGGTTCCATCTGCATATTTTGCAACAACAAAACTTCCCTACTAACATCCTCCCCTGCCAAAAATCCTAGGGATTTTCTATGTTGTGCCTCCTTGTTCTCTGATCTTTGACCCCCACTCTTTCTCTCCTCACCTTTTCTAGTCAAAACTTCTTTTTAAGTCTTTCATCAACATTGTCTTTATAGCATATACACTCCTTTTTTTAAAAAAAAGTCATTACAGTAGTCTAAAGTTCCTTGCATAACTTTGCTTGTGGTATCTGTTTTTTGGGTATAAAACTATTCAGAATATTGGGATGAAAATGTATGAGGTTGTTAATGCCTATGTTAGCATATACTGTACTTCAAAATCAAGCCCAAATATATATTAAGATGGGCATTAATAGCTTCATACCTTTTCATCCGAAGTCCCAGCACTTACGGCATCTCAAAATCTTTGTAGCGGAAGATTCCTACTATCATATTTGTCATTGCTGATTTCTGTGGGGGAGGGTACTGTTTTATTAAATGCAGGGACGTGCGGCCTATATGCTACTTTCTAATATAATATTGAAGCTGAAACCAATTAACTGTTGGCTCAAATGCACAGCTAGCATAAGCAGACACAAGTCTGTTGAAATCCATGGCAAAGCTATGGCATGTATCTTAAATTAAAGATGATGGGATCTGTAATAAATTATACACATAACACATAAAGCTGTGTAGACAGGATGCCAGCAGAGAGCTGTCTCAACATAATGTCTGGCAAGTCCTTAGGACTTACGCATGTCTCAAGCAGTGAGTGTCTGCATTAGTCTATTCACCGGTGATTCCGAGGTCTGTAGCCAGCTCTTCTCTTCTCCATGTGACATCTACGGGAAATCAATTGGATAGTGCCTTATCTCGGCTGCGTGCCCGCGCACAGGTAACATGTACCGTAAATCCTAAATGTTATTCTAGTCTGCATTATACAGTGCAGTATGTTTTTATTTTCAAAGGCAAGAACATCTGTCCTGCTGCATAGAGCTGGTGTAAAGGTTATTTGCTGAGAAGGTCCGTGGGAATTGTACCTGGAACCGATGACCAGGCAAGTAGCAAACGTCATGGCAGAGCTGCATACTTCCTGTCTTTCACTGTCTCTCATGACCACCAGCACTGTTATGATGACCGAGGCTGCATCTCCTACTCTTGTGCTATGATCTTCCTAAGAAATGGTCCCCCCCGCCCCCGTGCCTGTTATTTAAAAGTACACACTGTGGTTGCTGTTAATCGTGTCATAAACATCACATCTAGTCAAGTTCTAGTCCCTCATTAATGGGGAAGGACTCCATGTTGAAAGCAAACACAGAAGGAAGTTTTAAGGAATCAAATGGGAATTAAAGAAACCATTATATGAGAAACTGTTTCAAACAATTTCATTGATTGCTATGTATGTGCAGGGCTGGATTTAGGTTTGATGAGGCCCTAAGCTACTGAAGGTAAGGGGCCCTTTATATGTCCAGTTGTCCTTTGTCAACAACAAATTGTCGCTGTTTTTGTGTTGAATATATGCTATATGGTAATTTATGGACCCAATAGGTATCTAAAGCCATTTGCACATGCAGATTATAGGCACCCTATACGTATATAGAAATGAGCAAACCAGTGATATTTTAGGGAGCAGGCTAGCAGGTGGGGCCCATTACTTATGTCATAGGAGCCTACACAACACAAAACACTGTTGCTGTATGTAGGTTTTATTTGTTTTTTATCTTATATTTTGGAAATGTGCATCCAGTTTTTCCCCTTTTAATTTTTTTTGGGGCCCCCAAGAGAGTGGGGCCCTAAGCTATAGCTTTTTTAGCTTATACGTAAATCCGGCACTGTGTATGTGTTAAAATTAATACAGCATAAATATTTTTAAAAGTGTTTCACCTGTGCTCAGTTACTGTTCTAATCCAAGGTGTAATGTTGTGGTAAGATGAATGCATGTAGCTGTGTGAAATGGAATTTAATATATTTTCCTCTGCAGTCCAGGAAGAGGACTCAGCTTGTTTCCATCTTCTCCTGTTCCAGTAAAGAATTCAGAGAAAGGTTCTGTGTAGTATTGGTCAGCATACTTAATGCTGCCGGCCGAGATAACTTCAGTGGTGCATTTGTCAATTAATGTTTGTGATTCTTTTTTTTTTAATCACCCACTGTCCCTAATGGGTTAGGGCAGTTTCCAAGTGCCAGCCACATTAAAATAAGAAGTATTTTAAATACCAGGAACAACAAAAAGTCCACCCACAATTTAAAAGCAACAGGAATTCAAAGTGACTAGGGAAAGAACAGCAACCCAGCCATATTTTTTGCCAATAGTGACAGCTGGGTTGCCAGTGAATAAGCAAAGTGTATGCAAAAGGAAGGAAGGAAGGAAGGAAGGTGAGGGGGAGAGAGAGGTTATAATAAGGAAGCACTGGGATGCTACTGCACTGTATGCAATGATGACCACACTGAAAGGGGCTGTGGTTCAGAAAATCTGGAGGACATCTGTCAGGTTTTAAAGGTAGATTGCAATAAGGCACAGGAAATCTGCTGTTAAGAAACTGAATGCAAAAGATCAAAAGCAGTCCATTAGATCACTATTATGGTCTCTGTCTAATTTAGCTCCTTGTAAACCCAAGGAAATATTACCATTGACCTCAATGGACGAGGGATTGGAACCAGGGTTTCACTCCCCTTTTGCCATGACTTGGGTGCAGTTCGGCTACAGTTAGGCTACAGCAGGATAAACAATGATTTGAGCAGCGCATTTTGGGCATAAAGAACGAAGTACGTTTGGGCATGAAGCAGAAGAAATCTTGAACTACCACAAAAATGCATAATCTTTCATAATGCATTGCACCAAGTACCAAGTAGCCAACTGGGAGAATAAATGTATCCAGTGCTTTTTCACCCCCTCTAAAAAATGTACTCTCATTTTCCTACTCCTGTTGAAATACTGCCCCTCAATGAGGCCAAACTTAGATTCACAAAATGTTTAGGGATATGCATACCCCTGCGTCCCCCCAGAAAAAAGCACTGAATGTAACCAAATATGTTCTTCCTTGGATGGATGGATGGATGGATGGATGGATGAGGTCAGGGGCATAAACAAATTCTAGGCCAGTTAATTTCCTGTTCATATGCTGAAATTCAATACAGGGAAAGGATAAACCTAAGCTAAAATATCACAAAAAGCTTCTTCATGGGAATTTATAGTGTGATGTATTTTAAAACAATTGATCTGATGGCCCTTCTAATGACATAGGGTGCTTCCATACTGCAAGCTTTTTGTGCTACCCACTGTTGCTCTTCCACTGTATGTTGCCTGCAGACTGGCAATCCCACCATAAATATAGATTGTGAGATCACCTCTGAGGTTCACAAAACTACGTGCTCCATTTCACATTAGGACCAAGCCCTTCTGTCAACTATAGGAAGCTCTTGAGGTGCTGCTTCTGAGCAGGCAAATGCAGCCCCACATGCCTCTCTGTCCAGATCTAGGGACTGTCCCCAGGCCATGCCCCAATCCCTACACCACATCCCCTCTCCCGAGGTCACAATCTCACCCACCCTGCTCTGCAACTTCCTTGAGTGCTTTTACTTGGCTCTAAGGTGTCCTTGAACTGCCATAATGTCTCTTGCTTACCTGAATGTAGAATGGAGTGGTGTGTGTGTGTGTGTGTGTGTGTGTGTGTAGAACTCTATTGTTTTCGTGTGGCTGAAATGTAGGCTACTGCACAGAGGTAAGAGTCACATTCCCAGTTCCACCTCCTTTCCCCTCTGGCCCCACCCATTGTAATGTGGCCCTCAGGCCGAAAGCATTAGAGGGATACATAGCATTCTTCAGGTGGGAAGGCTAGTGGCTGAAAGGAACTGTGTCAGGGGTCTGGACCACAACAAATGGCCAAAACACTGGAGGTTACTAGAAATGTATTTTTCATCATCATGGCTATGAAAGCTGTCCTGGGATCTAATATGACACAAGGCCTCTTCTAGTATTTGAGCCCAAGGTCATCTTTAGACATGCATAGTCTGCTTGATTAAACTGCTTCCAAACAAATTTTACATTCTATGCTACTTAACATAGGGTTTTGGGTTGTTGTTTTTTGGTTTTCATTCAGCTTTATTCATCATTAAAATGAGAGTAATCTGCATACTTTTTAATCCAGGATTAGCCCTTTTTAGTTTATTTTCCCCGCAGACTGATTGTCAGTGCTTCAAAAGCATCAACTATTGATGGATTTCTATACAGCTGCCTGCACATCTGCGGCAATAAAATGTGAATCTGCTTTAACAATATCTGAAATCTTCTGTTTGGGGTTTTATGCTGCTTTTTCTTTCTGAAAGCACCTGCATATTCTTCAATGCTAGCTCGGAAAAGCATATATAAAAAAGACTCATCACTGGAAGATGCTGTTTTGTTTTGTTTAGATATGTCTGCATTTAGATATAACAGTAGTAATGTTTCGGCTATAATGAAAACAAGAAATCTTTCTTATATCCTTTTCTAAAATAAAAGTTTATAACCCAATTCGGCAGCCATAAAATCCAAATATGCAGGCTGATCTTTTAGGCTGGTTAGTTCTGGACTTCCAATGCAGATACTATATGGAAAATTGAAGGAAGAAAGTATGCTGTTTGCCATTCAGATGTTACTGATGTAGCACAATAATCACTCCTGTTCTGTTCTTCCTCATAGGTAAAGGTAAAGGGACCCCTGACCATTTGGTCCAGTCGTGACCAACTCTGGGGTTGCGGCGCTCATCTCGCTTTATTGGCCGAGGGAGCTGGCATACAGCTTCTGGGTCATGTGGCCAGCATGACTAAGCTGCTTCTGGTGAACCAGAGCAGCTTACGGAAACGCCATTCACCTTCCTGCCGGAGTGGTAGCTATTTATCTACTTGCACTTTGACGTGCTTTCAAACTGCTAGGTTGGCAGGAGCAGGGACCGAGCAACGGGAGCTCACCCCGTCACAGGGATTCGAACCACCAACCTTCTGATCGGCAAGTCCTAGGCTCTGTAGTTTAACCTACAGCGCCACCCGCATCCTGTTCTTCCTCATAGCTGCATTTAAACCTGATGAAGACACAGGTCAAGACCATGGCCATACAGGGGCATCTATTGTCCTCTGAATAGAGGACAATAAATAACAAGCTAGAAAAGAATAACAAGTGGGGCTCCAAAGGGATCAGTCAGTGCTGTGAGGTATCTTCAAAGAGATCCCAAGAAGGTCCAACTGGATGGAGTTGGCACCCTATTTATCATATTTGTGGATGATGCAAAACTGGAAGTCACTGCCAACACTCCAGAGTGGGGGGAGGGAATCTATTTTGGCCCGAGGGTAGCATTTCCTTCTAGGCAACTTTCCAAGGGTCAAATGCCAGTGATGGGCACAACCTGAAGAAAGGTGGGTGGAGCAATTAAGGCAAATTTTACCTTTGTTCAATTTCTACACACTCATACACCCTGACTGTCTTCCATCCAGACAAGCAGGAGACTTGTGGAATTTCTTCTCTGGTTCAGATTAAAATATGATCTGAGGAACAACTTCTGGTTTACCTGGCTAAGAAGTGCACTGAACCTCCAGCAAAGAAAGCTGTCGGTGCATTGGATTTTTGATCTACAAACGTATTACTTTTCGTCTCTACGAGCGTATTAGTTTGTGACTTATCAGTGCATTGGAGTGATTACCCTGTCCATTGCACTATGGCCGGCATTACTGTATTTTTCGCTCTATAAGACACACCGGACCATAAGACGCACCCAGTTTTTGGAGGAGGAAAACAAGGAAAAAAATATTTTGAATCTCAGAAGCCAGAACAACAAGAGGGATCACTGCTCAGCGAAAGCAGTGATCCCTCTTGCTGTTCTGGCTTCTGGGATAGCTGCACAGCCTGCATTCGCTCCATAAGATGCACACGCATTACTTTTTAGGAGGGAAAAAGTGAGTCTAATAGAGCAAAAAATACAGTAATATGTGCAAGGGAAAAAAATCTAGAGAGGCAGAAAGACTATCCCCCTTCATGGGAGACCTGCAGAGACCTGACTTCCCCCCATAGCCTTACCTTCTGCCCTTGTGCCTCTTTATTCTGGCCGATACAATGTAATGGTGAGTTGTAATAAGGAATTACAACTGTCATCGTTGACAATCACCATTAGACAACTGTCCGCAATCACTGACACATTTTCTCCATAAAGTTGGCTACTCATTAGGCATGTCAACATTCTCAGTGTCAACAGTCCTGGCATTATGGGCATTACCAGCCCAATCCTACCTTACATTGGTTGTGGGATGAGGGAAGATATACAAATTTTGCTATGGGGAGGATGGGAGGGGGTGATTTTGTTTACTGCAATGGGAGGAAATTTTCTAGTTTCAGGATCACACCAGGGAAATGACAGGGCTAAGATCT